TGATTCAAGATTACTTTTGACGAATATAGAGCGGAAAATTGCTAAATTGGTAGTAGCACACCAGATTCATCCCTCAAATTAAAATTATAATGATTGTATCTTTATTCTGTTTATTTTTTTAAATTACTATATTTGTTACAACTGCTAAATAGCTAACATCTAGTAACAGTAATGAACAATTATATAAATTTAATAAAAAGAGCACAAAATAAAGGATAGAATAAAATGATATCTAGTATATTATTACTTGCAAGAATTATATAACGCAATAAAATATCAATTAATCCAAGTTAATTAATTGCGTACTATAGTGATGTATATAACATATACATCTTGAAATCAAAATCTTGAAACTGTAAATGTGCTTATTCAATTTAAAAAGAATCAGTTTCAGTTTAGGTTTGCTCTTGAAAAGACCATTAATATGATCCAAGGACATTTATATGTGGCGTATATTTATATTATTATATAATTATATGTTTTTTATATAATTTTTCATGTTATGAGTGTCCCATACCATGACGTCAAGCCGAAACGAGGTGATAGTAGTAAAATCTCACGTTGTTTGGAAATTATGAGCTTTAAGTGCAATCTAGAGCTTTGTAAATATATGCCCATACATCGGTTATTGTGTTTAATTTTTTTCAATTTTGTTCATTTAAATTCTGGAACCGTAATCGTGAATAATATTTCTAGAGCTATATATTCAAAAATATTAACATAACTGCCCCAAGAATTAAGATTATATGTTCAACTATGATTGTAAAATATTTCATAATCTTGATTCAAATGCAACAATTTTTGGCGAAACTTGCGAGCACACTTCAGTACAATTTTATAAAGAAAAACCGCTCAAAGTCGATCGATTTTAAAATATTTAAATTCATGGTTCAACAAAAAGTGCTAATTCTTGAAAACTTGGGGCAATTGTGTTAATGTTTTTGATTGTGGTCCTAGAAACATTATTCACGGTTACGGTTCTATTATTTTTATTCTTAAGAAGTTCAATAAAATGATAAAATAATCCACCCTTAAAAAAAACTGAAGTAGTGTTGTATTACCTGGAATAATTAATTTAGTACTCGAGACGAGAGTTTAGAAGAAACGCTTCTATGTATACATTAAATATTTTATTATATTCTCATATACATAGAATGACAAAATATATATTCTCACATTGACAGATATTCACAGTTAAACATATTATAACCACTAGAAAATAAATCTTTCTCAAAAACAGTCAAAATTTAAAGTTCCAAATAAAACCAAAACAAATTTCATAAATCTTAGTTTTTGAGTATTCTCATCTGATTTTATGAAAAAAGATTTTAGTAAACTACAATTTAAAAAAAGCGTTAAAGTGGGCAAAAATTTAAATATGGTTTATTTTCAAGAAAAATAAATTTGAAAAAGGCTGGTGAAAGACATTTTAAAAAAATATTAAAAATTTAATATTCAAATAGATTCATTTTTCTGTCTTTATTCCATCGCCAACACACAAATATTTATAACAAATATGTATGTAATAAAGACATTTACGCACAAACATTTAAGTAAAGTTTAGGCATAAATTTAAAACTATAATACTTAAGGCACACTTTACAATAGCAACACATTTACGACACACGATTATAAACATATTTACAAAGAATTAAGTACACACAATTTACATTTTATTATATAGCAAATAATTGCCAAATACGTTCAAAATCTACATACTTTCATTAATAATGTGAAATGCATTGCATTATATTAATAAAATAACCTAAATTATCAAAATCCCATTGTATATAAAAGAGATTCCATCATTTTAAAATCTTATTAAAAATATTTTCTTTAATACTATATAAATATACAGATTAATCTGCAAATATATATATTTCTAAGATGCACTTTTTCGGAAGATAGCCTGGTTAGACAGGCATAAATGGAATGATTAAAAATTTATTCATCAGTACAACATTGAGGTAAATAGTTGATTTTAAAATCATTAACTAAAATGAGTCAAATATCTTATCACTATTTCTCATATTGTGGCAATGAACCTACATATAATTCCGATTTAAGCCCAAAATTTATTTAATCCTTTTTCATCAAAGTGAGGTACAGATTTGATTACCATTGTTCTCGATTTGCCATTGAATGAATTTATATTAATTTTCAAGGCTTAAATAAATTATTATATTTATACTATTCAAAAATTTTAGAAAATACAGTTTTAAATTTATTGTCTTTCAAAACCTTGTAAATGTTAAAATTTGTTGACAATATTATAAAAAATACATTGTCGGAAATTAAGATTAATTTGAAGTATAGTAGTCTCCTTCATAAAAATACGTCATATATCTACGAGATGTACCAGAAAATTGCATTAAACAGACTTTTCTTTTAAAATTATTGATTTTTGTGCCCGTATATCTTTTAATGTCCCAAATAATTTGTAGTTTTCAGTTTCAATATATTTTTAAACGCATCTGTGAAAATTTAATCTGCGTTTACCACGAGAGAAATTTTTCTCTTATTATTTTATCAACCGCTAGAGTAGCTTATTCCATAGTTTTGATTTTCTTGCAAAATATACAATAGACCTCATATAAAGGAAAATCAACAGAATCGATAATAAATTAAATACGCTTTTCCATACACCAACACTTTATCTCGGCAAGATGAGTTACAAGTTAGATTAGTTATAAAATATTTTCATGCACACATCCAGCCATACAATAATTAACAGAGAGACATTTTTAAAATAAATTTTTAAATTAACTTTTCATAATAAATCTGTTGGCACGTAGCAATTTTCTAAACGTGTAATTTTTCAGACATCTTTAATATACATAAAACTATATGATCAAAGAATATTTTGAAAAAAGTCTTAAATGAATCAGAATTAAATATGCATTAGTATTTTATTTAACAAAAAATCTAGGTTACCAAAACTTATCCGTAGGTTAAGTTATAGTAATCGCAAAAAATCGAAAATGTCAATTTTTATAAACTTGTACGTTTCAGAACTTTCTGGACATTTTGGCATACCTTAGAAAAAATTAATGTATGTGTGTATATGTAAGTGCGGATACAATTTTTCGTCGCTGATTTCGAGAACACGAATCAACCGATTTGAATGATTCAAAAAAACATTCGATTCCTACTGATCAGGATACGTGTGATTAGTTTTTGGCAAGAGCAGGTCCTAAGGTTTCGAAGATACGGGGCCAAAAAAGAAGAGAGCCAACAATGGAAATTCAGATTTTTAAAGTACGGAAAAACAGAATTTCAATTTTGGGTTCCGTATCAATTTTCATAATGTTTTACAGTTAGACTGCAAAACGGCGCTTACGCGCTTTTATATTTCGCCTACTAAACCAGCTAAGCAGTGCGACTGCTTTGAACAAAAACCAGAATTATAAAAAAATTAAAAAACAAAAAAAATCTTTTTTTCTAAAAAAAGTCGAAATTTTTCAGAGATTTCAAAATATTCAAAAATCTATTTTTTCAAAGTTTTCAATACAATTTAAAGCTATTAATACTTTTAAATTTTGCCTTAAGGCACTATACCATGCACCACTAGTTATTCAATTCTCCATAAAATAATTCATACGGAATAGTACTATCAAATAAAACTGATTATTTTTTAAATGCAAATTATTTTGCAAACGTATTTCAAGAAAACAGTGTCTCAGGCGTCAATGTTAATAACTGAATAAACCAATGTGATGAAATTCAGAGAAAAAAAACTGAGGGTAATTTATTTTGTTCACATTATTATATTCAGAATTATAAAAAATTTAAAAAATAAAAAAAATATTTTTTTCTCAAAAATTTCAGAGATTTCAAAATATTCAAAAATCTATTTTTTCAAAGTTTTGATAAAAATATTTAGAAGTTAAAAGTTTACCAGAAATTAGAGAAATATTAATTTCTAATATAAATAATATCGATATAGTCTCTATATTGTAGAACCAGAAGAAATAATATGAAATTAACCTAACGTAATTAATTATTTTTAACGATATGTAAGTCGAAAAATGTCGTATCTGCATTTTTGAAAACCTGATCAAATCTTCACACCTGTCGGTATTCATCCAAATTAGTTGGATTCATAAAAATGTGAACAGAAAATTGCATTTGAACAATTATATGGATATTATTTAATTAGGATATACCAAAATGATCAAAAACACTTGAAACGTAAAAATATTTAATATATTTTCATGTTTCTTAATTTGTTATTTATGAATTCAGCTACAAAACCAGAAGCGCGATTCTACAATAGCCTGAATGCGTTTTCTTTCTACAAAAATATACGATTTTTTGAGTTAAATAAAATGTTAACTAGCATATTATAATAACTACATTTAAAAATATATATTCTAAATTTTTATCGATGCTTACATAGTGAAAAGTTCTAGTTTATTTCACACATTGATAGATGAATTTGTCCTTTGTTCAAAATAATAGTACAAAAAATACTGTAAAAGTATATTATATAAAATGCATACCAGCAATTTGTATAACTCAAGAAAATCAAGTATTTACTAACGAATCCGGTTCCAAAATACAATTAACTCGTATAATACTGATAATCAATGAAGAAAAACTTTATTTTAAAATAAAGATAATCATCCTCACTGAAAGTATTTTAGTATAAAATATTTTAATTCTATCCGTTGACTATAAAAATGATCATTTCTGTGGTAACTACAATTAACTACAGCTTGCCGCAAACAATCAATATCACAAAATAATCAAATTCAAAATCAACCATTATTGGAATATAACTAAAATGGTGATTATCACAAAATAATGCCATTCATTCAAATCACAACAATATGTGTATGTAAAACCACAAAAATTACTTAATATCTAATGAATGTGATGATACGATCAAGATTGAAATTCAATCTGATACTTTCATAAATTTCTTGCAACACTAAATATGTAGTACATTTAAAACAATGTTTATTAAAACTAATTTGCATTAAAAATGCTTTTAAAATTCATCCCTTGCTCACAGTAATTACAGTACTCTCTTTCGTTTCATTCGTATCTTTAGATCTTGTAAACCAGAAAAAATTATCTTGTCTAAAATAATCTTCTATATAACCTAAAGTCTTTCCTTTTGTCTCGGGAAGCATTACGAATATAAAAATAGTTGCTAAAAGAGACGCACTGCCAAAAAATAAAAACATTCCATGCGACCCAATTTTTGTTAAAATTTCAGGAAAAACCTTGGCAACAGTAAATAAAGATAAGTTGAAAAATGCAAAAACATATCCAGCAACGACACCTCTCGTTTTGGCTGGTAATAATTCTCCTATCATCACACCAGGGAGGACCATCAATCCAGTGTTACCAGCAATGTATATTAATGTACAAATACCGAGAACCGAAACATCGACAGTTGTTTTAGGAGTAGATGCAATGAACATAATATATAAACCCATGAAGAAAACACTAACACCTCCAAAAAAGCCAGAGAAGATTGCCAAAGTTCTGCGGGGCATCACAAGTAGCAAATAGCAACAGAGCATTGTGAAAACCAGTCGGACAGCAGCAGTCATGTTGGCAGCTGCAAGATTATTGATTTCAGCTCCGCCTAATTCTTTGATTATATCAACTGCATAAAAAACTACTAAGTAAGTTCCTGAGAGTATTTGGAGAACATTGAATACGTTTAGGATAAACAGTGGCTTAGCAACATGTGGTCTCATAATCTGTCGCCAAATTGGTGGCTGATGTGTCGACATGGCAGCCGAAGAACCAATCAGTTCAGCTCTGACACGTGCTTCTAGATTCCGCAATTCGCGTTTCGCCTGCAAATCAACAATAACTTTATACTATAATATTAGATGAAGACCATCATAAACCAAAAAAGGATGCCAGTGAAATGACTGCAAATGTGTGATTAATGTTAAGACCAGATGACATGATATGATCAAACACGAGCAATATGATAAAAAATAAAAGAGTCAACTAAAGCAAAGCAATCATATATAGCAAACAATATGCAAAATATGAAGTATAAAGCAAACACCACAATAAATGAACCAAATAATAAACAATTTAAAATCTCCAGTAAACAAAGACATTTAGATTTTTTGCATCTTAGAGCATAGCGACCCAGTAGTAATCATTGTTGGGACATATTATGGCTATACTGTACAGCATTTTTTGATATAATATTTTTTCATACAGCAATGCCCCCAAAAAGCAACTTTCTCAACTCAAAACTTGATACCATGCTGGTTGATATCGAAGTAGCCGAGGTCGGGATCTAACCCGGGAACTAAAAATTACCAATAAATAAAATATAGTAGTGTAATTCTGTACACTCGTATTTCAAATAAAACGCAGTTGATGAGTACCACTAATCTAAAGTATATAAATGTTAAGTATATCTTTTCATACTAGGTAAATTCCACCTAGAAGTCCTATATATTATCCTACTTCCCGTAAAATCGAAAATGATAATTTTTGCATATCTTCATTTTTGAAGGTTTTTGAACATTTTGACATACCTCAGAAAAAATTGATGTGTGTGTGTTTTGTATGCCCGCATTTTTTCGTCCACGTTTTCGGGCGCACAGATCAACCGATTAGCATGATTCAAAAAACATTCGATCCCTATTAATAGGAAGATGTGCTGATTAGTTCTTGGCAAAGGCAGTTCCAGCCGTTACAGAGATGCAAAGCAAAGAGTGCAGAAAATAAAAATCGAATTTTTGAAAGATCGGAGCATCCGATTTGAATGATATTAGAAACATTCAATTTTTAATGATTGGGAGAAGTGGTGATTAGATTTTGGCAGATGCAGATCTAGTCGTTTCAAAGATGCGGAGCAAAATGTACAAAAATGACAGTATTTGAGAGAACTAAGCATACGATTTGAATGATTCAAAAAAAATTTAGCTTGTATTGGCAAAACAATTGCTTTTGGAATAAAAACTTTTGAACACTTTAAATAAATAATTTTAACTTTGCAATTCAGTATATATAATTCTTAAAAATATTAGACAATGTTACAATATTTATATCAATCTAATTTATTTGAAAACATTTAATATTCCTCAAACATTTCGTTACGGTACGTTCCAGCAATTTGGCTTAAGGCACGATGTCATACACCACTAGTTTATATTTATATATTTATGTTATAATCAGTAATTAATCAAAGTTTGTCTTTTTAGACTTTGCTGTTGTTAAAGTAGAAAATTGTGGTATTTTTTGTTAACAGAGAGTGAAATCACCAATTTTAACTAAAATCAATTAGTTAATTCTTGTCTTGTAATGTATACTTTGTTTTAACATAATTTAATGGACGGTTATGATAAGGAAAAACCTGGAATGTCCATTAGCGATACTGCCATATATGATAAGATACCTTGTTAAAAATTAATACAGGATTTACCAAAAAAATCATTTGAAATATTTCAAATGGGTATCATGAGTTTGTATCATGTCCAAGTTTTAGTAACGAAATACGCCTACATTATATATAGCAATTTTTTTTTAAATCTTCACATGCAAATATTAACCGCTTATCTCTATGAAAAATTTGAATCTAAATATTTATTAATCGTAATCTGAAATTAATTAAAGCGCAAAAATACTAACAACAGAGGCACCGCTGTCGCAGGTAATTAACACGATAAATAATTATGATTGCCTTGTTTGCTGATACATTAAATGGTCGTTTGTATCGCTGAAGAGATATTGTTAGCATTGTTAACTTAATGTAACACAAACAATGTGGATAATTCACGAACAGATGAGCCGAGTAATTGACCTTGTTCATGATTCGAGGCGAACGATAGATAGATATCGCACCATTCATTGCGTCATCGGTGATGGTAATAGTTGTCAAGTAGGTAAAACGAGCACAAGTCGCGCTCAATGCTGATTCGAATCTTAATATTTATTTTTAAATTAGTTTTGAGCTCTGCGCAAGGTATTGCCCATCAAAAAAACCTCGAAAATAAAAAAAACAACTAGTGGGGCACATGGCATCGTGCCTTAAGGGGCACAACTAGTGTGAAATTTTCAAAAAATCGAATTTTTAATTTTTCCATAATTCGATAGGTTATACCTTTAAAAATAACATACCAAAATTTTAAATCGATATCTTAAATAGTTTGAGTTTTTAAGTCACAGCCATTTAAAGAGTACATATATAGTATATAGTATAACGATCATTTAATCTTTAAACGCGTTTTTCTCGAAACAGCATTTTCCGAATTTGCTGCAGCGATTACTCAAAAACAAATGATCTGATTATTATCAAATTTTTTTTACATGTTCTATATATGTATAGTTCTCCGTAAAATGAACTATCGATTTTTTGATCGGATCAAAAATCGAACTTTGGCAGTCCAAAAACGATCAAAATTCTGGGTAAAATTCGACTTTTTTTTTAAAAAACGCCGTCATTTTGCCAATTTAATTTATTTTTTTTTCTTCATCGTAGTTCATTTTACAGACAATATTATCTAGATTAACGACAATTTTTCTTTTTAAAATTTCATCCACGTAGAAGGCCGGAATCACTGCAGCAGTGAAGGGCCTTTTTTTGTCGCGCCGTTGGAGATCGACGATAACTTAAAAAATATTTAATTTTTTTCTTCAAAAATTTTACTATGTATTCTTAGAACAAGTATAAATATATTCCTAAAATTTTGAAATAATTGATAAAGTAGTGTTTTTAATATAAATTCCCAAAAATCATCTTTTTTTAGGCAGTTACACTAGTTGTGCCCCTTAAGGCAAATTGCTGGAACTTCCCGTAATAAAAATTAAAATTTCTGAAATAGATAAAAAAATTGAAAAATTTCGAAAAACATTTTTCAGAATTTAAAAAATTTTGCAAAAAATACTTTTTGAAAAAATTGAATTTTTTTTATATTTCGAAATATTTTGGGAATTTTGAGCTATTTTCAAAGCAATCGCGCTGCGTTAGCTGCGTAGAGACGAAATATCAAAGCGCATAAGAGCCGCGTTGCAGTTAACGTATAAACATTGGTAAGGAACCGATCAAATGCAAACAAAATTTGTTCTTATTATTGAAATATCTATAATTTGATGTGCATATGTTTAATGATCATTTTTCATCGGCAAATGTCATTTTTTACTTTGTACATTGGATGTCCGAAACCGCAAGGCCTGCCTTCCCAAAAATTTAATCAGAATTTCGTTTGCCAATATAAGTAACATGTTTTTTGAAATATTCAAATCGGACGCTCCGTTATCTCAAAAACTGAATTACCATTTTTGGCAGTTTTTGTCTCGTATCTTCTGCCAAAAACCAATCATCATGTCTCCCTGTCAATACAAATCGAATGCTTTTTGAATTATTCAAATCGGTTGATCCACGCTTTTAAAATCGTGGACGAAAAATTGTATCCAAACATACATACATTACATACACATACGCATACCATTTTTTTCTGAAATATGCCAAAATGTTCAGAAATCTTTGATTTGAAACGTAAAGATATGCTAAAATTTTCATATTCCATTTTATGAAATTACTATAACTTACCCTATGGAAAGTTTAAAATATGTTGTGCACACGATAATAAAATTCAAGCTAGTGTTTAAAACTATCTTCGTACTATTATTCTTAATCGCTGGTTAATAGGTGTTATTTAATAAATTAAAATAAAAAACGAATATAAAATAAAAAAAGATAAAACAATCTACGTTTCTTTCAATGGAGCCCTATAGTTAATTTATGTAAAAATGATTTAAATAAATCTTAACTAGTATGTAAAATACATAAACAGTGCTGATGCTGCATCAAGTCTTAACATTTTTAACTTCTAGTAAGTTATTGTAAACGTGAAAAGAACGATATAAAAAATTGATATACCTTTACATTTCAACACCTTTTGAACATTTTTTAGCATACCTTAGAAAAAAATGGATGTATGTGTGTGTATGTAGTATGTATGTTTGGTCACAATATTTCGTCACGATTCCAAAAACATAGATCAGCCGATTTAAGTGATTCAAAAACATTTGATTGCTATTGATGGAGAGACGTGCATTAGTTTTGGCAAGGGCTAATTTATCATTAGTTAAGAGAAAAACATAATAACATGTCAAATTTTTCTTTTTATTTCTATGCTTATTAATCTTAATTATCAATGAAGTGATTGTACTTATAATCCATAACATCTCGCTAAGTGCAAAATCATGTACCATTTGTAATTAATATTTTGCTCAATAATACTACCATTTACACTTTTCCGATGTAAATTAAATTGAAAATATTCCATTCTTCTAATTTTTGTCACAATAACCAATTACAATTTCCTTCTTCGTGAAATTAGAAAAATATTTTTTGTATATTGTATCACATTTTAATGAATATTGTTTATACAATACTTATGCATTGGATAGGTAACATTTAGATAGGTGAAATGATGTCAGGTTGGCAGGCATAAACAGATTACATTAAACCAACTAAGCAAAATTTTAACTATTTTACAGAACTGTTTCTACTATATATATATAAATACTAAACCTTATTCAGCAAATAGTTAAGAAGGAATATCTTGTGTAATATTTAATCAATATTACTCGTTGTCATCAAGATTTTTTGTTAATTATGTCTAAAGTTTGAAATGAATAATTGTGATTACTCATTTGTGATTATAACAAGCAGTATTTATTTATTATGTTTCGTAGTATTCACAGATAAAAGAGATATATTTTAGGATAGTAAAAGATATATGTGTGTGTGTGTTTTATCTACAGCAATTTCAATGTTTTAATTGTATGAAAAGTAGCACTGTGAATACTACAATTCAAACATTTTGTTCTGTAAGCTTAAATATGCACTAATGAATGCAATGTAAGCGTCATTTAAATATAAATATATCAGCAAAAAAAATCTCAAACATTTATTGTGATTGTAACTCCAAATTCCAAGAAACTTCGAATAATGTGCGGTTGATTTTTTTCTCTGTAATTAAAGGCACGTGCTAGCCTTAGCTTGCATTCTATTAACGTTAAGAGAAGTTAATCTCATATTTAGAAACAAATCTCATATTTCATCTCAGCCTTTTAAAAAAATCTACCAATTACAAAAAATATTTGCAAAGATAAAGATTATTTTATCTAACTCATAGCAAAGTAAGAAGCACAATCATATGCATCATGCATCAATGATCAAAATAAATATGGATGATTTGAAAATTGATTGAATGATTGAAAATTTAATACATGATTTGTATGCTGAAGGATGCTGCTTAATATAGATATTTTCAAATTTCTTTGCTCTCAAGGGTTCAAATACTTCCAAATTGATAAAAAAATCTCTGAAAGGTTTAGTCCTAATATTAACTTTAAGATAGTCCGTACTCCAACCAAAGTATCTTGGTTTCTCTTTCTAAGTAAATACTTATTTTATAAAATATGCCAATTTTTTGTTGTGATTTTTTTATTTATTATCAAAATAAACAAATATTCTTCTCAAAGTTTTTTATTTATTGTCGCAAAGGTATATAATTCTAAAAAACAAATGAAATTTTTCCGATGTTATTTCCATAAGAAACTTTGGTTGAAGTGCGGACTATCTTAAAGTTAATATTAAGAGCTAAAACTTATAGAGATTTGGTATAATTTGGTAGCATTTGAGCTACTGGGAGCAGAAAAATTCGAAAATATCCATATTAAGGACCACCCTGAAGTATGAGGTAGAAGCAAGCACATTGCCGGAAAACATCATAGTCCAGCCATGTAAGCTTAATTTAGGTAAGAATCTCGGAATTCGAGATACTGAGCTGTAAGTCTGTATATACTTGTATATTGATACCTAAAAGTTGTCTCGAAACCTACATATGGTAGGGTGTACGCAGCATATGTAGATTTTAAGACAACTATTAGGTGTATCTCAAATACGGAGGTGAACTTACTATAATGACTGGACTATCATGTTATTACTATTTACTGATGTAGGTGAGTGTGAATTGAGACAACTGTTAGGTGTATCTCAAATACGGAGTTAAACTTACTATAATGACTGGACTATCATGTTATTACTATTTTACTGTTGTAGGTGAGTTTGAATTTCTAATGAACTACAGAGAATACTCAAAATGAAATAAATTTGGGAATAAATAATGATTACCAGTTTCTCGTCACCTCGAAGCCACAGCAAAGCTTTTTCGGCGCGCTTTCGCTTTTCCTTCCTAACGAGCCAGACTGGACTTTCGGGCATCAAACACATCGCCAGCAAGGCGAGCGCTGGCAAGACGGTTGCAGCACCAGCTACGGCCCTCCAATGTAAGGAGCTGCCCAGGGCATATACCAGAAGAATTCCAAGAGAATATGACACAAATGGGGCTCCGATCAACGTCCCCCTTAGCCGGGGTTCTGATATTTCGCCGAGGAACACCTGGAAGATAAATGATTGGTCAACAAACAAAACAATTAGTGAGTATTTGACTTTAGACAATAAGTTAGATAATTTTTTTATATTAAAAATAATCAAGATTTTTATTTAAGTTAGGTTTTTAAATGTCAAAATCTACCACAAAATTGTAGGGTATTGTCTTTTTTGAACTTGTAGAATAGCATAAAATTTCTTTCTCAAACTATTATCTTTCAATTAAATATGTTAACCGTTTTCCGACAAAACTTGAATCAAAATCATATCAAATACTGTTAATTCAGAAACAACGAATAATATATTTCTTCAAAGAAACTGTGCATGTCATCAGATTTATAAAATAATTATTTATAAAGTAATTTTATGAAAATCTAAAAAAATAGTCAATTACGAATCGATATATTAATTTGACCAGAATCGTCGAAGTGTATATAAGATACCGAATGGAGATCGGCCAATCGAAAGTGATGAGAATATCGAAACGAGACGAGCCACTGAGGATAATAGTATGAAATAGATAATTGGAAGATGTAAACCACTTTAAGTACTTAAGAAGCGTCCTGGCCAAAGACGGATGCTGCATGAGGAAGATCAGGGCAAGGATCACAAGCGCCAAAGGGGGCGTCCATTAATCACGTGAGGTTTTTAGGGGGAGAGAGGGTTTGACAAAAAATCACGAAATATCACTTGAGGGAGGGAGGGGTATAGTAAGATATCACGTGTATTTTTTTAAACTGATTTTTTTTTAAAAATAAAACATTTTCAAAAAAAATTTAAAAACTTTACAGATTCATCACGTAACTAAAAATACGCGTGATGTTTAGTGGGGAAGGGGGGTTAATTTTGAATATCACCATGTATCACCAAGGGGAGGAGGGGTCCAAAAACCGTTAAAAACTCGCTCACGTGATTAATGGACGCCCCCAAAGAGGAGTTCACGAAGAAGAGAACGCTACTGACGAACAAACCGAGTCTCGACTTGTGGAAAAGACTAATAATGTACTAGATCTGGAGCATAGCTCTGTACAGATCAGAAGCATGGACTCTGGGTAAGGCCGACAAAAACTTTCTGAAGAGATTTGAAATGTGGTGTTAGAGACCAATGCAGAAGAAAAAATGGGCAGACAAAGTAACAAATGAAGAAGTGCTGAGAAGAGTGCGCTAAGAAAGGATTCTACTAAGCATGATCCTGAAAACGAAAGGAAACTGAATTGGACTCATTTAGCAAAAAAAGCGCCTTAGACACGACGTCGACGAAGATGAAGTAGAAGGATTAAAAGTAGTGGAAAGAAGAAGAAGAATGCAGGCGATTGAAACCTTACAAATAAAAAAATACAGGAGTCTGAAAACCGAAACACAAGACCAGGAAACATGAAATCAGAAGTTTCGAAAAGAAATTGCATAAAAATGAATAAAATGTGATATAAATTAGTCATGGGAATAATAAACAAGGGAAGAAAAGGGAATCATTGATTTGTGGACCTGATTTCGGAAAGACTATAATTTAAAAACATTACCAAATCTTTCAGCTTACTTCCTAACTTAAACAGATTCACTGGTTTTATTTTTTTTTTAATTTGTCCAGATATTTTCTGTATCAAATTTTCCATTTGATTGATAATTATAAACAAACCAATTAACCAATTAGCTTGCAAATTCATCTAATCAAGTCAAGCTCAAGTTCTTTAGCTCTACCAAATTATTGAAATCGTTGCGGCCGTTATCGAAAAAATATCAACTAAATGCCAAAGACGACTTTACTCATACATATATCTTATTTCATATTGATTTTTTTTATTTTCAAGTGATTCAGGTATAAATTTATAACATAAAATAGGGGATTTGAATTATCGGGCAGAGAAAAAATTAAAGTTCTAAAAATAAATTATGATTAACAATTACATGATCCATTTGCATCATGAAAGCGTATGGCAGGAGTATCATGAGAGTTTTACTACCATCAGAGCTTATTTATGGCGCATTTCTTTTAAATAGTGATTTTATTCAACAGGCTTAAACTTAATATACTCGTGTACTATTTAAATAAATTTATTTAATTTTTGAAATTCCATTCAAATCACTGTAATTATATGAATTTGATAATAAGCGTTCTGAACGAAAAATATTATGAAATACCTCCGTTCATTACATGCGGAAGCAATACTATAAAATATATGAAGATTCCTGCATAATCTATAATTATTGTTACGCCGGATATTACTTATACATATTAAAAATATTAAGAGATTTGTTTGAAATAGCGTTGGTCATTAAATATTCCGATCGATCAAAAATGTTGATATTATACCTAATGATAACAAAAATTATTCAGAATTTTCTAATTGATATGACTACACGAGCTTAATGTATTCCCACGATTAGTCAGTCTAGAAATGACATATGCTTTTATAATCACAAAATTGATAAACACGCGAGTTATGAACAATGCCAATGAAAATTAGTTCCCTCACAAACACGCGATAAAAATTAAAATGTCATCAATCAGTCAATCGGAATTAAAGAAATTAAATCTACTAAACGATTATGAAGAGGTATGTATTATTACATTAGCTTTATGGTGCGATATATATAGTGCAACAGTGTCTTAGGAGAGGCAGCTTGAGAAAGAATAAATTAGTTTTGTTTTTTAAAAAAAAACACTTATTAATTAAAGAACAATAGTGTATCTTAAAATATCTTGAATTTGCTATAATCAAAACTAATCTTATTATAAACTTCGAAGTATTTATTTTCAAAATTCTTCAAGAGAACATTGTATAGAAAGGCTAGATTACCAAGTGTACAGCACCGTCTATTGAATACTTTGTGGCACAATTGACTTATTTTATTTAATATATGTTTTTGAATATTATTGATAAATTTATGTAAGAGACTTGGTGTCATTACCTGTGTAAAAGTACAAATGTAAGATATTAGCTGATTGAACCTGATTTATTGGTTTCATCTTTTTACATGTGAGTGCAGCGGCTAATATTTGCTTTTATAAAGTCAATATTTTCCAAAAATTTCAAAATTCTCAAAATTCTATTTTTCAAAAATTCAAAAAAAACAAATCTTTGTTAAAAATTTAATTATCGGTTCGCGAAGTTCCAGCAATTTTCCTTGAGGCACAATGCCATACACCACTAGTTTTTTCTTAATTTTAAGTTTTCGAAAAATATTGATAAATTTGGTAAATGAGGCTGTTTATTTATGAGGATTGGTGAGTTGGAACTTGACAAAGTACGAACCAATGATATTGGGGTTAAAACATTTTATTATATTAATATTGTACTAAAAATATTCATCAAGCTCGATTAGAACAAACATTAATCTAAATCAGCTATGTACTTACTCATCATTAATTATGCAAATGAAACAACAAACGAATGATTGATATACTTCACATATATATTTTGTGTTTGAATAATTAAATTTTGATAAATTATTTACAATATTGATAAATTTGATGTTACTAGCGATGAGAATAGTAAAGTAAGTTTACGATTCCAATACAGGTATTGATATGGATATTGAAGGAATTAATTTGTATATATTTTTGAAATGGACAATTAAATGTACGGAACAGATAATTTTATTGTTTCCAGTGAAAAAAAAATTAAATATAAAAATTATAATGAACTGGTTGGTATTGGTAGTTTGTGCCTTGAGACAAGTTACATGAATTTCCCGATATGTGTAACAAACGACTATGGATATATGTAAATAATCGACTTAATCAATAAAAAATAAATTAATTTATGAGTGATTAAAAGTATTCCGAGTAGATTTATTACACATAATTGAAAAACAAACGAACACATTAACTCGGAGTATTTTCTGAAAGCAAATTTCATAAATCAACAATTTTTAAAATTGAACCCATTACCGTAGGACTTTAATGGTTTAGTACGGTCATTAAGACTAAGAACTCTATCGTTATACTAAGTAAATCGTCTAATTTTAATTTTAACGAACGTCGAAAAATTACTCATTTTCTCAAACATCGGTAAATTTTTAAAAATAAACTACTTGTCGTAAGGCCGTAATATTTCAGTAAGTTCTATAAGACCATGATATATATCGCCAAAAGTTCCATAAAAATAGGCTTAATTTTTTTTCAACAGTTAATTACAAGAAAAACGGCTCGGTAGATTTTCACTTAGGAGTAATCAGTATCATTCCCAACTAATATCTTTCGAACAGTTTTTGATTTTTTAAAATCGATTCGGTAGTATGAGTTTAAATGTGAACGAAAAATTTAACACTTTTTTCCAAATTACAAAAAAACGGCTCGGCCGATCGTCACACACAACTCAGAAACGATAGTCTTCATCGGGATACATCGAATCAGATTCGATTGAGAATGGCTTGAAACATCGAAGAAACTGCTGAAACATCATAAAATAGCGAATCGTTTTTTATGAAAACATCGGAAAGTATATTATAAAAGTAGAGCATGTTATTAATCTTTTTCAAAATCACTTATAGAAGACATCAAAGATTTAACAAGACAAATATAAACGATCGCGAATATATAAAGGAAAACAATGGAAAACTTTCTTCGGGACGAGGTCGACGTACCACCCACATAATAAAATTATTCATGAACAGCACACGACGATGAAATATATAAAATTATATGCTTCTAAGCGTAACATCAAATGATAAAATATTAAAAATTATCATTTCATTTTCTTCATATCACATTGTGATTTCCGTTAATTACAAAACGCGTATTATATGTTGTTGTTTACAAATAGCATTGATATATCAAATAGTACTATTTAGTTTATTTTAAATTTTTAATTCAGCATAAACTTTATTATATATGTTTGTGTCACTATTTCCTTTCCAAATATTCCATGGCATAAATGATTTGCACAAGCACATACTAATTTAAAACAAGTTATCAAATTTCATTAACCGTGATTGTATTAAATCGTAAACTATAAGCATAGATATAATAAAAGTATTTATAATCAATGTCCATGATAATATGTAAA